AGAGACACATCCACTACTAAATTGAGAGAGCTGGACATTCCTATACAGGGCTTTGCTCATTGGCTGAGAAAGATCAGTTGACACTCTCAGCGAACTAACTAAATTCTGCACTGCATGCCCTAGCTCAGGAGAGCTGTTGAAAATTCTTGATTAAGAACTTCTAGGTATCATTGGTTGGTAGTGGAGGTGTGGAGCAGTCAATCCATACAAAAAGCGAGCTGTAGTGTCATGGTCCTTGGAGTGTTCCATTAAATATCACTGTACCTGCTGACTGAATCATATTTCTATTTTTTACATTCTCTAAATACCTTTTCACCCTTTCATGTTCGTTCTGGCCTTACCAAATGTTGTTTAATTTATTCTTTATTTATAGCTGCACATGAAATACAGGATCATAGATCATAGATGTGATACAATTGCTCAATTGCTACAATTGGTGTGCGCAAGCAAAAACTGAAAGCCTAAAAAAAAAAAAAAATACAGAATCCAAAAAACAACAGTAATAGTAAAACACAAGTAATATAGTCAAGTACACCAGTCGTCATGTTGGTTACCGGAGGAGGATAGTGAGCACCTTAAAGGGATACCCACGAGGTGCTCTACATAATAAGGGTCAGGAGCACTGTTACTAAAATTGAGGATCGTAATTACTGTAAGTATCCCACGTGAAGTAGTTCTGTCTCATTCACCTTTTCCACTACCCTGTGCCATTTATTTTGCCAAATTAAGTTGTTAATGGCCACTTGTAGGTGAGCTAGATATTTCTTAATGACTGGGATTGGCAGGGACTGAAATAGAAAGAGCAGTCTAGCGTAGGATATACATTTTCTTAACATGGATATGCCCTATCCAGGAAATAGGTTTGTCCACCCATGTATCCGAACCTCTGATCAGTGAGCGGATAATGGGCGTATAGTTTTGATTATGTAACTTATTAGGGTCAGCCGTTATGTTAATCCCATGGTATTTGAAGAAATCCATGGTGAACCTAATGGGGTAGGAGGACCCAATGAGCGCTGCATTTGCAGCTGAAAGGTTAAGGGGCATTAACCTTTTGAGGATTTTGTTAGGTTAACCATATAACCCAAAAAATTGCCAAAGTTTCAAGAGCCAAGTTCAAGTTATCCAGGGAGGGGAGTGAGATCATCTGCATAGGCAGGTACTGTGAATTCGGTACCAGCTATTTGCACTCAAGAGATCTGTGACAGGGGGCATACCTGTCGAGTGACGTTCCTCCCAATAGACAATGGCTTGGGCTTTGAGCAACTATGTTATTGTAGAGGGTGCACAATTTATATATGCCACTTTGAAACTCTAATTGGTTAATAGTTTGAGTAGGTATGACCACTTAATCCTGTCAAACTCCTTCACATCAAAAAAGAGGAATAGAGATGCTGTTCCAGTCTCTACTAACCTCCAAAAATAATCTATGTTTAAGCGAGTATTTTCTTAAAGTTGCCTCACCATGATAAATCCAACCTGGTTGTGGTGGACCAGTGAGGTCAAATGGGGGTTAAGCTATTCTGCCAGTATCTTGGCATATACTTTTAGGTTAATGTTAATCAACGAGATGCGTCTATTGTTGTTCACTTGAGTTTAATCACATCCTATTTTCGATATCAGGTCTACGTTGGCTAAGGCTATGACGGAATTCGTGTAAGGGACCTCAGAGAATGGCACCAATTCCTCTTAAAATGACTTGTAATAAATGCAATCTAAGCCATTTCAACCTGGGATCTTAACTACTTTAAGGGCTGATATAGCATGTTTTATCTTGTCCTTGGTAATTGTTGAGCCAAGAGCCAGCAGATCCAGGCATTGTAAGTAATCCCAGATTACCACTATGCATTGTGTATTTATTTAAATGTGCTGGGGAGAATGGTTATACAGAGTAGCAAAAACATGTTGAATGTAGTGACTATTTTCTCCCTGTCATCCCTAAGAGAGGTAATATGTCTAATCCCCGGCTAAGGAAAAAAAAATATTTAAATTATTTATATTAATCTGGGTCGCGACGGATCGCCACCGATGCTCTTGTGTTCCAGTCCCCAACCGGTGCAACGTTCTTAGAGAAGCTTTCCACTGTGGTTCCAGTTTAAATAAAATGCTTACCTCCGTCCACAAAAAAAAGGCACACGAACGTTTTAGGGTCAGCAGTCAAAATTTGGCAAATATTTAAAGAAGCACTATATGGTCGTGAACACAAACATGATCAGAAGTGGTGGCCTCAGCCAATCACAATGCTTTCCCATAGGATTGATTGAGTCTGTCAATGAGGCAGATTAGGGGCAGAGCCAACACAAGTCAAACACAGCCCTGGCCAAGCAACATCTCCCCCTAGAGATACATTGGAGCAATGCATCTCTATGAGGAATGTTTGGTGTCTCCATGCATTGTTTTTCCCCTTTGTTCAAGGAGACCTCTATTGATCTATTGTGTTTTGTCTGTAGCATTCTATGCGCTCTGTTTCCAACAAGTAGAGGCTAGGCAACCCCATTTCGGGCAAGAAGTCAGACTAATGGGAGGCCATATATAAGGAACAGGGAAAGTTTCTTCCTGTGTAAACCATAGATCCCCCTTCTAAAGCATCACCCTTAAGAGCTAACTACAGCTCCTATATGAAATCTAAACTCCTGTATAAAATAAATTAACAAGTAACTAAGTGTTTTTAACCTTTACTGAAGCCAAATCGTCTACTCCCTTCAGGCGAACTGTGATGTCTGTAGGCCCTGCATTATGCCCTGGCACCACTAATGTGTACAGAACATCTTAGCATCTACAGCGCAAAAACAGTATCAAAACTTATCATAATATCTAGATTCTCTCTGTACGTATGCACATTATAGTAAGTGCTGGCGAATCCCGTAGTTTCACTGCATCCAGAAGATGAGAAATAGGAACATTTGAACTTGCAAAACTTTACTGGGCCCTTGACCAAAGAAAAGTAAAGTGTCTAATGCAGACACCCCAACTGGCTCGGTGACTGCATAGCTTCCAATAAGAGACAAGGTGCCCCAGGGTATATCAGTGGAGCCATTTACTTAAAAGTAGGAAAAAGAGAGCCAACTGAGAATAGCACATCAAAAAATCAAATGGCCTCCACTCTGGCCTCATACCACTCCCCAGGGTTGCAAGGTGCTGCCATCCGGGTTCTTCACTCCCAAGCTCTGTAGAAAGGCCCACATATCTGAGGTGGATTTCCCACCTCAAAACACTATGATTTGATTCTGTTGCATTTTAGCAAATCTGCTATTGGTTTCCAAGTTCTATGCCTAGGAGAGTAGCTGGGGCAAGATCCTGGAACAGCTGGAACTCTTTAGTTTGGTAAGTAACTGGACTGTCAGCGCTTCTTTGAAGGATAGCCTCTTTTGTTTGGTAATGGTGGAAACGAAAAAATTATTTCACTTGGGGTCACTCGCTTTGTCTCTTCATGCCGGTGGGCCCTGTCAATGTGCCACGGATGGTCTGCGATATCTGGCAACAAGGGCCTGAAAATGGCCAGGATGACGTCCGTCAGGTAACCCTCCCACTGCCACTCAAGCAGCCCTCTTACTCAAGTTATTTCTACTTTATCTATTAGATAGATCTTCAATAACCATTTCAGCCATTTCCAGGCATTTCCAACTACCTTCTCTGTTCAACAGCCGCAGTGTGAGAGTCCAAGGCCCTCATTTAGCTTTTACTTAATTAGAGCTTTATTTAATGTCTCTGGACAGGTATGACTTTACTTCTGTCAGCCTTTCCAATATCTTACTTGCTTCAGCCTACCCCCAAGAGGGGCCCTCAAAGTCCTCCGACGTTCATGGGGAAGACGGCACGATCAGGCTTTCGCAGCCGCCATTCTCTTGTGCCTGGCTGAAACTGTGGGAGAAACATGTCGTTACAGCATTTTACATCTCAGTCACTCTTCAAGTGATTCAGTCTTCACGTTGTTCAGTTATACAGTTATTCAGATTTTGTTGTGGTTGGCAGATGTTGTTGGCTCTGTAACTGCGTAGGAGCTCCGTGCTCAAGCAGCCATTACTGTCTATGGTAAAGCCTCCACTTATCAGAATTTTTAACTTCTTCGTTAGTTTACTTTGAGGAGTTTAAATAAAGGTATAAATAAATGTCTATTGGACTTATCTAAGATTAATTCTATTCTGATATCCCTTTACCTAGAAAGATTCCTCAGAAACATGCATCTATTTCTTCTTTCTTTGGTATAGCTTTTGTGGCTTATCTTCATTATTTGGGAAGTTCAAGAGCGCCCCCAAGTGTAGTGGCAGCTTTATTCTGCTACTATCCTTCTGTATTCATATTCTTTCCAGTTATTTTATACATTTCTTTAAAGGGACACTATAGTCACCTGAACAACTTCAGCTTAATGAGGTTGTTCAGGTGAGAACTATAGATCCCTGCAGCCTTTCTTGTGTAAACACTGTATTTTCAGAGTGAACCAGAGGGACTTCTTTGTTTTTTTTTGTCAATCTCTTTTTTTTATTGAAATTCGAACAGTGGTTGATCCAGTACAGTGTCTAAATACAACGTCAAGAAATAACATTTGTTTTACATGGCAAGTTTGTGGCTTACAATACGAGTTCAAACAGATAAAGGAGTTACAATTCGAGGCTATGTAGCCAAACTTATAAGAAATGTGGAATGTGAACAGACCATGAGTCTATGCCGACCCCTTTCTCTGCATAACCGTGGGGCCTGTTCTTAGACTTCGCCCTAGAGTTAGCCTAGTGTATCCGTCAGATTCTTGTTGTTGTCGGGTCAGTCTCAAGCCCTTCCCGCTACGGTCTGTCATTAGGTGACCTTAAGCTGTCACGTGTATTCCTGCGTCAAGTCTTATCATGTATATAGGCAATGCTGACTGGTAGGTTGTCTGCGGTCTCGGGGGTCATCGGCATTGTTATGCCTCCCAGTTGCAGCCTGCCTGCCCATTCCCCTTAGTTTGCAGAATCCGTGTGTTCTCAGGGGCTCGTGCGTCTGATTCGCGCGCTAGTTTGACTGTTCAGGTTTTAAAATTACATCAGGGGGTGTGGGTGCGGTCCCACCCAGGCCTGTATCTACACATCTTTCGGAAGAGGGAAAGATAAAGGGAGCGGGAGAGAGGAGCAGGAGTTGGAGAGCAGAGAAAGAGAGAGGGAGGGTTAGGGCCGTTTTAGTGCCTGTGTTGCGGGTGTCACGGCGTCCCCCTCCGCCCCTACAGTCTGTCCGGCCGAGCACGTCCACGGCCTAAAGAGGCGCCCTTGCGGTCCCGGTATCCCTTGCCTCCGCCAGTCCCGCTCTCCGGTGTGCTTTGGTGCTTATGTCTGTCTCCCGGATATGAATAGCAGCCAAGGTGTCCAGATTTGCTGGTATCGCTCTGTGGTTCCACGCAGGGAGGCCGTCAGCTGTTCCATGCCATGGATTTCTTCGACCTGTTCCATCCATTCCTGGAGGCTGGGTATCTGTGTGGTTCGCCACTTCCTCGGGATTAGCAATTTGGCTGCGTTCAGTAAATGCTTAGTCACCGACTTTTTGTATTTCGATAGGGGTAGCGAGGTGTGATGGAGGAGCATCTGAAGAGGGAGGAGCGGGGTGTGCGTGCCTGTGATGTTTTTGATTTGTGAGTGTATTTGATGCCAGTATGGGGTTATTCTTCTGCAGGACCACCAGATATGCAGGTCTGTGCCCACCTCTTCGTCGCAGCGCCAGCAGCTTGCCGGGGCATTTGGTATCATCCTGTGTATTCTCTCAGGGGTCCGGTACCAGTTGGTCAACAGCTTGAAGTCGAGTTCTTGTTGTTTGGTGCACAACGAACTTTGGTGTGTCAAGATATGGATTTTCGTCCACTGGGGGTCCGTCAATGCGACTCCCGTGGCTTCTTCCCAGCGCGTAATGTGTTTAAGGGGTGTAGGTTGCAGTGAGGACAAAAGCATTGTATAGAGGTACGAGATTCCTCTGCACAGGTGTTTGCGTGTCGTGCAGAGTTGTTCGAATCCTGTCAGGGGCCTGTGGAAAAGGTGCTCTCCGTAGTGGGACTGATAGTAGGTTTTAGTCTGGAAATATCAGAATCTATCTAACCCCGAAGGCGTCCGTTCAGGCATCAGATCCTGTAGTTGCTTCAGTGAGTTCTCTGTGCACCATTGGTGCATGTACGTCCAGTCCGAGTCTCCAAAGGCTTTGATATCTTGTGGTGTAAGTCCACCCGCCAGGTCCGGGTTATGCGTGATTGGCGTCAGTGGTCCCGGGGTGGTGGTCAGCATTAGGGTTGTTCTCACGGAGTACCAGGTTCGCAGCGTCGCTCTGATGAGCGGGTGATTACGGGTGCGCGAGTTCGTCAAGGTGCCCCCAAGCCATACCACGGCCGGGATCGACCCATCCATTTGGCTCCGTTCCATGTGTATCCATTGTTTGCTAGTTTCGGGGACGTGCCAGTCCACGACTCTATGGAGATGTGTCGCTCGATAGTAATCTAGGACTGATGAAAGGCCCACTCCACCCTGTGCTTTGGGTAGGCGGAGGTGTAACTTCTTCAGTCTGGGAGCCTTAGATTGCCATATAAATTTAGTGATAGCTGTGTCCATCGTTTGGAAGAAGGTGGGACTTATTTGTTGATGGAGGCATAATATGCCTCCATCCACTCAGATCTGCTGTCAGCAGAGCACAGGCCAGCACTGTGCACAGCATCCTGTGATTCAGTGTCTCCTCCCTCTGCATGCAGACACTGAACTTCCCTCAGAGATTCATTGATTCAATTCATCTCTATGAGGAGATGTTGATTGGCCGGGGCTGTGTTTGAATTGTGCTGGCTCTGCCCCTGATCTACCTCCTTGTCAGTCTCAGCCAATCCAATGGGGAAGTACTATGATTGGATCAGGCCACCACATGTCAGCAGACAGCTTGTTTTTTCTGAGTCTAAGAGCATGCAGAGTTACAGCTTCAGGCTTGAATACAGTTAAGTTTTTGCTATATTTATGGAGGCATGAGGAGCCCAGGGGGACTAGATGGTGGTGTTAACACTATAGGGTCAGGAATACATGTTTGTGTTCCTGACCCTGTAGTGATCCTTTAATTATAGGCACAGTACAAAAAAGGGATCGCACTTCACCATAACCTGGGCATTGAGCATAGGTTGTTATGGTGTTCAAAGGAGCCTATCATGTTGCTTCCCTCCCCTAAATCATGTACAGCTTGGCTTGCAAAGTTTTAAAAAAAACAGATCGTGTCGGTAATTGGATGGTGCATTCTGACAATTAGTTTTGAAATTCTAGAAGTAGATAATTTACAACCTGTTTAAATTTTTTTTATTGGAATCGAGGTGATTACTCTAGTACCTAAGGGATGCAGGTTTCATACCTGGTAGGATAGGCACAATATTTCCTTCTAAACCGATAAAATTTATTACAATTACTCTTGGCTTGGGTGACACCACATGAAACAGTTGAAAATAGAGAACTGTCTTTATTCTATAAAATGGGCTCTATTCTAATGGAAATATAATAATACCTCCAGATTGTAAGGTCGTTTGAGCAGGGTCTTCAACCTATTGTTCCTGTAACATTTTGTAATTGTTTTAGTCATTGTTAAAATCCCCCCTTTATAATATTGTAAAGCGCTGTGAAATTAAATTGGTGCTATCTAAATGCCAATAATAATATAGACCATTATTTGCGATCTCACGGCTCTGGCCACTAGCGGCCATTCTCTGCGTATGTGTGAATAGCAGGCGTCCTGGCAGGAATTATTGATGACAGAGTAGCGTAGCCCCTTCCATGCTCTCTTAGCTGAGAGTTTCACACAGAGATAAGATTGCCTCGTTGGTATGTATCGAACATCCCTATTTATTTTTGGTGTCATGTCACTGGAGATCAAACTAATTATTCTGCTCAAGCGTCACACATGATACATTACATTAATACCAGCACTTATCAGAGAGCTGATACAATGCAAGCGGAGTCTGTGGAAGAAAAACTCATGGTTATGTGATTACTTTAACACATTACCGTTTTTCTATGCCTCCGTTAAAAGTAACCACTAATTTAAAAAAAGCCTGCTTCCTACCGGTTATCATACATTCAGTGCCCATTGTAAAGGAACTAAATAACTATCTATTCTTCCTTTGCAGCATTACAAACATATATCCATATCAGTCTCTGCAGAAACTCTACAGGTTTTGCTAATCCTTTCCCGTCTGCGCTAGTGCAGATTATTTGTTTATCCAAACCCTATAGCTCTACTCCATATATTCTCAACTAAGCAGCTAGAATATTGTTTATTCTCTGTTCAGACCTATACTGCTAGGATAATACTGCTTCCTATATAGCAATACATTACTTTCAAAATCCTGCTTCTTATCTTCGAGGCCCTCCAGCTGCTACCCACATGCTAGATCTCTTTCCTGATGGTGTCCATACACATATATATTCCATGCACCTTGTCGAAACTGGAGTTCCATTACTTCAGGAAACTCCACTGCTACATATGTATGAACTTGTCGCCTGTGAAATCACCTATCTGCCGGCTAACTGCCAGTTAATTGAGAATCACTTAGCCATATCTATAACAATGAAATCAAAGCCACACCAAGGTAGGATGGTGCATTGGCTTCATAAAGAATATAAATTTTTAGGCCTGGGACATTGTTTTTAAAAATGACCAGTCTCCCAGTTTATATAGAGCAATGCCTATTGAATTATTGAAAGATCATATACCATCCTTAAAAATAGAATTATTGAAGGATTGCTCTATAACTAATCTGGACAATTTTTTTTATGGCAATGCTATTCTTTCTTTGGAAAAATTGAAGCTTAAGTATGGATTGTCGAATGCATGTGAACTGGAATGTATGATAATCATTGATAAATTGAAAGAACTATACCAGGTACCTGAAACCGATAAAAATTATAAATCACTTGAGATATCTCCTTTAGAGAAAGTTATTTTATACAGCCCCGCTAGTAAAGGTATGATATCCTTATGTTACTTATCTCATAATGCCAAGCCCTTAATTAAATTAAAACATATGCTGTCATGGGAGACGGAGTTGGGTGCCCAGTACGATTTAGAAGAATGGTTCGGTTTCTTTACAGGTTTAAAAGGTATTTCATATTGCACCGACCATTTTGAAAATCATTATAAAATCTTATATCGCTGGTACCTGGCCCCGTCTAGATTACATAACATGAACAATATGTATTCGGACCGATGTTGGAGAGACTGTGGGGGATTGGGCAATATGGCCCATATCTGGTGGTTCTGCCCCAAGTTAATTAATTATTGGAAAATGATCCACAATCTGATTATTAAAGTGAACGGAACCATTAGTATCTTAACCTCGGAACTAGCCTTATTTAAAAAACTCCCGGAGTCTGTTAATAGATCAGATAAAATAATCATAGGTCACATTCTGATCGCTGCTACATCCTGTTTACCTAGACATTGGAAGTCTCAAAATGTGCCATCTCTCAGAGAAGTTTTTAATTTGATTTTAGAAAATAAGGCACATGAACTATCACACAGAGCCAATATGCATGGTTTCCCAATACTAAAATACAACTGGGATAAATGGGAAGAAAAAATCAAAACAATTTATGGTCTTTGATATATTTATTGTTAAAGTGCATTGTTGTAAAACATTTTTCTTTTTGCCATATACTTTAATATGTTTATTTCATTGATGGATGGATACCCCTTCCCATTTCCATGTTACCCCTCCTTTCCTACCCTTAATACAATGTTTGTATTATTATCATTTGTTATACAAAAAAACTTTAATAAAAATTATTTGAAAAGAATATAAATTTTTAAGTACACCAATAAAATATACATACACTGCAGACTTACTGTACATCCCTCTACTCATATGTAACATGTATCAGAGGCATACCTAGGTTTTATGGCACCTGGGACACAAATGTATTTAGCATTCCCTCAAAAACTGTAAAAAAAAAAAAAAAAAATGTTTGTTTAGGTCTCCCTCTGCACCACAAAAGCCAACCTGCTTTTTTTAGACAAATTACACGCACATACATTCGTATACGCATTCATATTCACACACACAAACACATTTATTTACACACACAGATATTCAGATACATACTCATAATTACATCCATACACATTATTTTAATAAATAATAAAATAGTAAATTTTTGTTAAAAAATTGTTACACTGAGGTCACCCGGCCTTGACAGGGAGAGCTCCAGGCTAGTGGCAGATCAAGAAGCTGCCGCGTGGCACCCTTTCAGTCAACCTGCTGGTAGACACGTGCCTGCTCTGGCATTAGGGTGGTGCACTGTGCACCCACTGCGGCTTGTCATCTGGGGCAGATCGACCCCCTCTTAGTTCACCTCTGTATATAAATCCGTGAGAACACCTGTTAATGCTATATAAATAAAATATACATACACTGTATACCTGCAGAATTTACAGTACCTCCCTCTACTGTAATCTAAATGTAAAATATACTTACACTGCAGCAGGCCCGGACTGGCCATCGGGCATACCGGGCAAAAGCCCGGTGG